TTTGAAATTAATGGAGCTACCCCCTTTTCCCCTTTGGTAGTTTTATTTCTTTATAATGTAAAGAGTATTAGAAATGCAAGTCTACACGGTATTTTTTAATTTTTCTTTTAATTTTTTGGGGTTACATTTTTGCTCTTCCATATGTGTATATGTTCCACTCACCCTACACCAAACCATCCGTGCGAAAACCCCATCTGCTTCTCTCCCTCCACTTATGCCTCCCTCTCCCCCATAGGATATTTTTGAAAAATTAATGTTGTTTCAAAAATGATTGCCACGTCTCATAGATTTAAGTGTGTTTGGGAATGTGAAGAAATGATTGATATGGTAAGTAAAATACGTTTTCTTGTGTGATTTGATTTTTTTCCTCCACACATGTATCTTCACTTAACAACTTTAAGTGGAGGAGTTAACTTTGTACCCCTCCTTTTAATTTTTTTAAATGGAAATATTGCTTTCATAAACTTCAGTTAGTTGAATTTCCTCATTAGAATTTGTTTACATTTGCAAATTTGATCTTGGATTTAGGCACTGATAGACCTGAGAGACCAAACCATGATTGGACAAGGGAAGGAAGAGCTGCTGGGGTTGCTGAGTTCTCTGTCTGGGTCAGTGCTGATCAGGGGCTCTACTAACCTGAACAAGTTTTCCAAGTGGAAGCTTTCTTGCCAATCTCAATGAAACCTTGCCTCAGTTCCCAAGTAACATGAGGTAATCAAAGGCAGGATTTGGTTCTGCATTGAGTGGTGCCAGCACACCTGGATATTCTTCAGTTCTGAGGCCACTCTGTAGAACTCTAAGCTTTGGAAACTGGTGCTGGCACAGGCCACTTAGAGACAAAAACCTACTACAGTATGTGGAATCCAAAGACAAGACCAGAAAGGGATTTGTTCATTGTGCCCCGTATATCTGTTGGCTCTACTAGGCCACAGTTACATGCATATACTTCTGTGTGATATCAAAAGAAGGTTTTCATTTGGGATCTAAAGAGTGGCAGTTGCATGTACATATATTTGATTTGTGCATGTCTCACTGTGTTACAACAGACTGTGTATTTCTTTCCACCCCCACCCCCCATTTGTTGTTTTCTTCCTTTCTTTTGATCACCCAGCATCTGGGAATTTGAATGTGCCATCCAATTCCAGTTGCCTGTGATGCCAAATTTTGAGCTTGTTACATCTTTTGTCTTTAGAGAAAGTATAAGTAACTCAGCATCACTGAATAATATTAGGATATGGGTGTATTCTTCTATTTCCTTTTCTTTGATTATAAAAGTAATCTATAGACATTTTAAAATGTTATGAAATATAAAGAATGAAACTCTTCCTTTGTCTTCCTCTCTGTAGTAGCCTGTTTTAACACTGAGTGCTTACTGCCATGTCTTAAACATATTATAAAGTTTATATATTTAAAATCAAACTACATACAAGTTTTCATTTTATTTTTTTAAATGTGTACTTTTTCTCATACTATATCAAAGAAACTGGAGAGGATAATACCTAAGTGAAATGTCAGCAGGAGAAAAACAAATACCCATAGATTCATTTATATATGGAATATAAAGAATAAAAACAGGTCAGACAAAACCAAACCAGTAACAAATCCTTGACATCTGACTGCAAAACTGAGGTAACCAGAAAGGGAGAGTGGCAGGGTGGAAGCAGGGAATAGGGGCCCAATGGAGCATGGGGGAGGATTACTGGTGCTTTCATGGTAGACGTGTGGAAATATATATTTGTAGAGGTTTAAGTCTATAACCCCTAAAGCAATGATGTAAAGCGACTTACTCTCAGTAAACATAATTAGAGGAGGAAAAATCCTGACTCTTGGAAAACAATCTTTTTAAAGATATATTGAGTCACAAAATTACAGGAGGTCTATTTTATGCATTTATTGAATTTTAAAAATAATATAAATGAAAATTGCTGTGCTCTGGGTAATATATTAGTGATTAGCCATATTAACTTCACTTAAATGAAGCATTTAAATATTTGCCTATAAATAAATTTGCAATGCCAACTCATTAACTTATCAATCAATGTAGCTGAATTTCTTTCATGTTTTGCCCTGCTTATAACAGTATTTCTTAACCTTTGTTTGGTGGCCAGCCCTCTGAGAATTCAGAAAAAACTATGAATCTTCTTCCCAAATAGATGCATATTCACACAAAAAAACTAACTGATAATGAAGGCTATAATCAATTGTTGTGTACTTAATTTTAGGGAAGTCATAAATTCCTAGAGCCTGCTTATTCATATTCAGGTTAACAACCCCTTACCTATTACAATCCCAAGATTTTCATGGCAGTGAAGATTATGCGTGATTAATAGGTTTTGCTATTTGTGTATTTGTTGAGCATCTGCTATTTTGAACACTTGTGGGTTCCTGTGATATGGTCCTTATTCTTTAGGAATTTACTGTCTACAAGGGAAGACAAGAATTACGTACATAAAGTAATGAAAAAAAATACAAATATACAGTAATTAGACATGTCCAGAAGTTGTATATGAAAAGTAACCTCTTTACTTTGTTTTACCTTGATGCTATTGTCATTCTCTAATTCTCTGATTTATATGAGGGAAAAGCAAATCTAAAAGGCCACCAAATCCTTTGGGAACCCAAAACATTCAATGTGTCATAAAATGAGGTCTATAAAGTAAGACTCTGAAAACTAAATATATATCACATCCAGATTCCTGAGCAGTTTCATCAGTATCATCCATTATTCCCAGGGAGCATGCCCAAAAAGCAGATTCAAGAATGTGCAGCCGGCTCACAAGTATTCACCCCATGTATCACAGGGCAGCTCTGTTGAGCTGGCATATGTAGGCTAGTTGAGCACTGTGATAGTTGTTGCATGTCACTAAAGCAGGGTTCCTACAAACAGAGAGGACTTCATTTATATTTTATTACTAAGTAACATTGCTTTACAACACTGATTCAGGAGAATAGGTTCATACCTGGAGAGGAATTTAGTACTTCACATGATACAGCATACAGTCATACAGGAACAATAATGATAATATACCATCCTTGGATGAAGTCAGCAAGCATGAAAAACTTATTTAAGCTGACCACCTGACAATCAAGACTGTTCAAAACAGTGGCTGTGGCTATAATTTAAAGAATTGCTTTCTACAGGACCATGGTATGGGAAAGTTGTACATTTGACTTGAACAGTTATCACCCATATGCAAGGTTATCACAGATAATGGCTATGGTAAGATATGGGGCATGGATTATGTCAAGCTTTCTATTAACATAGTTCTCATCAAGTATTTGTATAGTTTTAGAATTTGGCTCTTAAAATCTTGATTACTTGGGCTACACACATATGATAGAATTAGTTTATAAATAGCATTTCAAGTTTCTTTTCAAAAGAAAGAGAAACTGTAGTGCTGCTAACCATGCTACATAGTTTTCTTTTTTCCCACTTATTGGCATCATTTTAATTAGAAATGTCTAAAATAAGAATATTTTGTGTGCAGTTGTATAATACACTTGTGCTACATTTTAATTTAAAAAATTAATTTATTTAATAAATTTCATTTCACATATTTCCATAATCCCTACAACCTAACTTGTTGGCTTTATTTTTTAAGGTAGTACAAGGACTTTTTGAAAACCTGTTATTTCTGTGGACCTGCTAGATGGAAAACAATGCTGAAAGAACAGAAATTGCTATCTTTATTCACACATTATCATTTGAATCTATCCAGCTACTAGTTGTTAGAACCAGTTATCCAGATTTATGTACAAATATCTTGATAGATTTTATTTAATTTCTGAAGAAAAAATGCAATGCCAACTCTTAAATTTCTTAAACTCATTCCTAGAGAAAAATGTAATAAATTAGAAGAAAAACATTTCTTTTCATACTTGCTTTGAGTAGACACTGGAGTTGTTTTACCATAAGCAGATTAATGTTAAATGCCCATCACACTTTCGCTTCACAGAGACAATTAAAGACAGTAACTGTCCAGTTTTTGAATCGTGTGTGTGTGTGTGCGTGTGCGTGTGTGTAGGGTGCTTAAGCAAGACCTTTTGATTTCATAATAAGCAGGGCTTAGGGACAATAAAACTTGACATTCTTAATGGTTACAAGTATTTGTCCCTATAGTCTTGTTCTATTATCTTCTTGTTAATGATGTAGAAGCCAGAGTCATAAACCAAGCATGTACCCAAGGTGCTACTGTAAATTGCAAATAGCATCCATGTGGTCTCTTCCACCTAAGACTAAATTGGGGTAGAGGGAAGAGACAAAAGAATTTTTGAGAGTGATATTGAAGTCAAGGACAAAGAATATGCCAGAAGGATGGCCATGTGCAAACGTTCCCTGTTTCTGCGGTGAGATTTATCTAGATGAGCCTTTTCATCTCTTCAAACATTCCTTTGCTCAAGAGCCAAATGTTAGATTGGGGCAGCCTCTGCTGCTGGTTGTGTGTTTGTGTGTGTGTGTGTACACACATGTGCGACAATGCGCCCATGAGATAATACGAATAATCAGTGAGGGAATAATTAATGATGTGGCAGGGAATATTTTTTGATAAATGCTTGGGGAATGAGGTGACAGGCGTGAAATTAGAAAATTCCTTCAGAGATCTAAAATATAAATAGCTTTCGGAACTGAAAAGAGTTTCACAGCTGAAGATTTTATTGTGTTGAGAGGAAAAACTTTTTTCTCTCCCCCACTCCCTCCTCCTTTGCAAGTTGTTTGTCCATTCACAAAACAAATACTCTGAAGCCCAGCGCGGCTCATGGGAATAAATTTCAGGTCGAATTAGTACAGTTTCCTTGCTGTCAGGATGCTGGAATTAATGGTGTTTTGATGACACGAATTTTGAAGGGCAAACAAAGAAGCTGAAGGGAGAAAGACATGACTCCTTAGAAGCTTGGTCCTCCTCTCCCCCAGCCTCTCTTGTCTTCCCTGTCATCCGTCTGCCAATCTCCCTGTCCATGGTTAGTTAAAGGCGCTTTTTATCCTCTTTTCTTTCCCACAGAGTTTGCCAGATCCGGCCCGGTGCCTGGGTTCCAGGAGGACACGCTGCAGTTGGCCTTCATCGACTTGAGACAAGTAGGTCTTTGTGTTTTTGTTTTTTGTTTTTCTTTTAAGATGTGTGACTGAAGACCATCAGGTCTTAAGGAAAAGGGGAGGGAAGGGGGATTGGCGTTGGCGATTCACACTGGAGACCTAAGGGTTTTTCCCTGTGTTTGAGGCCACCTCTTTTATTTAGCTATCTGGGATCCTTAGCTATGGTGGAGTTAAAGGTTTTGTGGGTAGAAGGCAAGGCAGGAGGTGGGAGGAGGGACTCAGAGAGTAGAGGGACTCAAGTGACCCTCAAGTGATGTGACCCATTGTGCTATAGTTGGCTTCTGCAGACACAGCAAAAAGATAACTCAGCAAACCCATGCTAAGCAGGTGCATTGATGCAGAGACTGCCTGCCTGGAGAACTTTTGTTTGTAGATAATGAGGGCAGCAGCATTTAAGAAAAATGAAATATTTTACATTCTGGGTTTTAGTTTGGTTTGCTGACTTTTTTCTGTTGCCTTAAGTTTCCCATCCTCTCCTTTGTAGAATGTGATCAGCCATGAGTGACTAAGTGGTCCTTTTAGAAGATGGTTAGTAAAGGCCCTGACCAGTCATGCTAACCTGACATGCATCCTTGTTAAAGTAGTGATGAAAGCTTAGATGTACCTGAGCTTTGCCAGCCCATTGTATAGAAAGAGTAGTTCTATATGGCTGCATCTTGCAGAGTGAATTGAGTGGGTTGGTAGGCCTTGGTGGTTTGGGTATAGAGGAGCTGCCTGGGTGGGGGCCGAAAGAGGGAGAGTTAACTGGGCTCTGTCATCTCTTCACTCTGAAGATGGATGGGGTTGGATAGAAAGTGTGAATGAATCAATGACTGATGCTTCTTTCCTATTAAAACAATCTTTTTTTTTTTTTGTCTGTTTTAAAAAGGGGGCTGGCTTTGTTTCTCCTGCCATAATGATGCAGTGCCTCTTGTTTTCAGAGCTGACATAGTTTGCATTCTGAAAACTTTTAGATGCCCAGGGTATTTCTTAAAGCTGTAGGATCCCTTGTATCGGTAGTCTCCTTACCACTGTGACTCGATTCATGCTGGAACAGCTTTTAACCCATAATGGATGGCCTGAGCTAGCCCTGAATCCTTGTGGATGGGTGGTGTAATCTGTCATCTAATGACAATTCTGGAAAGCCCTGTTGAGCAGAAAACAGAAAATTGTGTCTCTATAGCCCCACCATAGTTTGCGGATTCAGGCCGCGTCTCCGAAACGTGTGTCAACTTAATATTTGGGGGCCGAGGTGGGGGTTCTCTTCCACATAAAGGCTTTCCCAGCATGTTCACAAATGGAGCTGAGTATCCCTTTCCACACTTAACACCTTCCACCTGTGGATTCAGTGACTCAACTGAGAGGTTCATGTTTTAACCCCTTGATTGACTGAAGGTTGAAAGATTGGAATTTTGCTTTAGGGTTTTGTGGGGTGGTATCTGTTGGACTTCACCCCACCTCCACATTTTTTCTCAGAAACTTCTGAGCCAATTGGCTTTTCTTGGAAAGCAGAAATTAAATTTCATTGGAGAAGCACATCCAAGGAAAAATGTTCCCTTCTCACTATTCATGAGAAGGAAATGTGGTCATTCTCTCTAGTTTGTGGATTTGTCCTTATGGAAAGCGACTAATGTTCACAGAAAATGTTAACTAAAGGGAGTAAGTTAGAAAGCACAGCCAAAATAAGGTGGATCTGAGCCGGGGATGCATTCTCAAGTACTGTGAGCTCCCAGTGAGCATATTTGTTTATGCTTAAGTTCCTACATTCTATTACTTTTTCGTTCTCATAGTTCCTTTAATGAAGCAGTAAAAACCAAAACTCTAAAATTTTCCTAATAATGAAAGAGGGTACCTCTTCTTATCTCCTAATTTCTATTTATGCTGATTAAAACAGCTTAAATTTTTCTAACCTAGATCACTTAAAAACTTCCCTAACTCTCAGGGTACTTATTCTTAACAGTCCTCAGGTAGTTGAATCATTGTGAGAAAAATTATCCTTTCACACTCCATGATATTGATATCATTGATATTGTGGCAGTTCATCTTAGTCATTGCCATAACTTATCTAAAGTGAGCACCTTTTAAAAAGGAGACTTCTTCTGATCTGTAGAGATGTTCAATCAATAGACAAAAAGCCAGGAAAAATATGTTTCCAAAGGAGATATCTTGACCTCAAATGAGTCATGATCAAGTGCCCTTGAATACGCTGCCCTTTTGAATGTAGTCTTCGAATCCTTAAATAGAATTATGCTATTGCAGAGTTAGGGCCTAATCTTACAACTCATGTAGTGTAATATTTAGCTTGATACTTGTAACCCTGGATAGTACCCCAGATTGGCAGAGAATTCACTTGCACAGAGCAGCAAGTTCCACATTAGACCAATCTGATTATTAGAAAGTAATTTCTTAAGTTGACTAAAATCTGTTTCAGTTTGTTTTGACCCATTTATTATATGTTTTTAATCATCTCCAATTTGGGGATGGGTTTTCTACTCCTGATTTATTAAGCTTCTTATCTGCTAGTAATAGATTCTTTTTTTCATATGTAGCACTTACATCCTTTCCTTATCTAGTCTTCATATAGTTGACTTTACCAACCAAAATTGGAGACTTTACACTCTTTGGTCTATTTTTCTTTTCTTTTTTTTTTTTTTTAATAGAGGCATGTTTTATTTATTTATTTGTTTGTTTGTTTTGTTTATACATGCACTGGGTACAGTCAGAAGCGCGGGAGGGTGAGAGAATTCACCAGAGCCAGAGCGGGGAGCAGAACAGGCAGAAGGACCGAAGTACACTGCTGAGGGGAGCAGCGGGCGGCAGGAGAGGTCTGCGCGCCATGTGGGACCCTCCTCCGGTGGCCGGGGAGCAGCCGGGGATCGAACCGGCGCTGCAGAGGCTGCGGGCAGCTTCGCAACCCAGCACTCAACCGCTGCGCCACTGGTCTATTTTTCTTTTCGACATATTATTTACAACATACATTTTAATCATTCAAGCTTGTCTTTGCCTTTTTAGGCAGGCCCTGATTCAGTTATCCAGCTTATTACCTGGCTTAATTATTATGCTCTTTTACAATAACAAACAGGACTAATAGAAGTTAAAGGAAGAAATTAAAGTCAAGGTAAATTTCAAGTAGACCCTATACAGAAAGGGGATTTGTCCCCAAACAGAGCAGCCAGATAGTCTTTTCTTGTCATTGAGTGTTTTTGCCTCACTGGTTTATGAGTATATTCATCTGACCATGCTTTCATGTTCTCTGGCTTTAAAGTGTTACAGGCACTATCAATCAAATGATAATTTTTTAAATATTCAAAACAGAATGTCTGAATCATTTCTGTATAGACTGTAATAACATAGTGTCATTTAAAGCTACAGAATTTCATTAAGAAGCAAATTAGGTGTGGATAGCAAAACTATTCATCCTTTCTCACCTGTCCTGTCTATTCTAAATTTCTTATCTTAAGGTAGAGAATTAAATGACATTTTGAATATACACGCTTTCATGATATTTTACATCTGTATAGCAATTCAGCGTTAAAGTGCATTTACATGCATTTCTCATTTGTCAGATTTCTGGGTTTCAAAAATCTGCTGTTAATAATAATGTGAATTAGTGCAACTTAGACTCTACCTCTTTGTCACCTTATATTTTCTGTTTCCAAATTTATAAAAGTAGATTTGCATTCATACATTCATATATCAAATATATGAGCATATTTCTATCAAAATCTAAATTTATGTTTATGCTAAATCTTGAGAAGGACAACTGAAAGGCTCACTTACTAACTGTCTTGAAGTGGCATGTACACTCCAAGTGGTAATAATTGCTTGTCTTTAGTAGTTCATAATTGGAAAGTATAATATGAGGCCACTGGGAGATTCTCAGTAGTTATTTGATTATTCAGTGGTACTATCTATGGTTTGTATTTTCTTCTGTTGTAAAACATTAGGCAAATAATGCTGAGGGTCATCAGAATTTGAACTTCAGTTGATTTTAATTTTAGTTTACTTTATCAAACCATGGGTGCCTTCTATTAACGAAGCACAATCTAGTATTGGGGGAATACACAAAAAAATATAAACAGTCTCTGCCCTTGAGGAGCAAAAAAGATGCTCAATCAGCAAATTCTGGATTCTAAAATCAGGCACACTCTGGTAAGTATTACATTAGAAGGATGAAGTCATTATGTGTGTTTTAGCAGCTTTTGCTGCATAACAGATCACTTTAAAACAAGAATTATTTACTGAGGTCAAGTTTCTACAGGTTGACATGTTTAGGGTAGGTTCAGTGGACTCACTCAAACCTTGAGGTCAGCTGCTAGGTTGGCTTGGCACTTCACCTTGTCTAGCATGTTTTAGTTAGGCCAACTCTTCTCTGCTCCATATGATCTCTCATCCACCAGCAGCCTAACCCAGTCTGATTCACATGGCATCTTGGCCGGGTTCCAAGAAAGCAAGAGGAAATGTGCAACCCCCATGAGATTTGTACTTGAAACTAGCACATCATCATTGCTACCATTTTCTATTGGCTTGAGCTAGTCACAAGGCCAGCCTAAATTCAAGGGATGGGTGCATTTGCACTCTAGTTTATACTCTCATTGGAATATAAGACAAGTTTTATATAAATGATGCAAAATAGATAATGCAAATCTGGAGCAGGACTGTATTTATAAATGGGGGGGAGGTCATGAAATGAGAAAGGTTTTTATGGACTTAAATAGTTATAAAATATTTCATGGAAAAGGTAGGGAGTTAAATTGAAAGAAAGTCAGGCATTGATGAGGAAATTTCAAGCACTGAAAATAGCCAGCGGGCTTCCCTGGTGGCGTAGCAGGTTGAATGTAGCGCTGTGAAGCTGTCTACAGCCTCTGCAGCGCTGGTTTGATTCCCAGCCAGCCAGGGAGATACCCACATGGCGCAGCAGACCTCTCCTGTCTCGCCCACTGCTCCCCTCAGCAGTGTACTTCAGTCAGTCTACCTGTTCTGTTCCCCTTTCTGTCTCCGGT